AAAAAAAAAAAAAAAAAAAAGGAGGAATGGTCCACCACCACCTATAAATCCAATACCCTACCCCTCATTTTCCAAACACACAATTAATTCCCTCATCATTATCACTCACATACAAACGCAATATATTAGTTGTTGTAACATCACATTCGAAAAATGATCAAGACCAAGGGCGCCGATGTTGCCATTTGCCTGGCGACGGTTGTGCTTGTCGTGGCGGCTCTGGCCCACGAGGCGGCGGCCAAGGCCGTGACCTGTGACGGTCGAACCCAACTCTTCCCTTGCATCCACCCCAAGCCCCAGGTGCCCATGCCCCCGTCGGTCATGTGTTGCCAGGCGCTTAAACTGCACCAGATATGCCTATGCCAATACGCACGTGACACTTACTTGAAGATCCTTATCCCTGACTTGGACGAGGATATCAAAGCTTGTACGATCCCTAACAGAATTTGCCCCCTTTGATTTTTATAATCTGGGACAAAGATTTTGAGTTGTGGTGTAATAAATAAGCAGAATATCATCAATATATATATATTTTGTTTACCTTTGTTTCTCATGTTTGAAATGGTAGTAATGTATGACATGTTGTTGTTAGAATATACACTTGAGAGTTGTTCACATCGTCTATACGGGAAAAATAGGTCTAACTTATGAATACTCACTTTTGAGTTAAGCCTATGGGGCGTGTTAGAATACTTACTTGTGAATATTCACTTGTGAGTTGTCTCACATCGTCTATACAGAGAAAATATGCCTAATTTATGAGTTGTCCCACAACGTCTATACAAGAAAAATAGGCATAACTTATAAGCATAGTGGGCTACTCCTCCTACAACTACAACCACTAGTTTTGAGATGAAACCTCATTTGGGCTTTCCCTGCTTATGGTGCATTTCACATGCGTGACACCGCACTCGTTTGGCCCTCAATTCTTACACATTTGTTATGATCCAATTTAATCAATTATAACTAGTAGATTCATTTCATATCCAATCACCTAATTCAAAATCCAACTCAACCTAATTCTCATAAATTTTTATAAATATAATTAAATAATATCAATCAGTCATTTTTACACATCGCATCAATTTTAATTCACTATTCATGCAATCACATAATTTTAGCTACCTATCATTTCATATAATATCTCTTCCACTTTAACATTATATTAACTTTAAATATTGCATTTTAAATATTATTTAATATCAAATCTACTTTATTCAAAATAACTTATTCTAACTCGTTAAATTGGATCATAACCGGTTTCATTCATATCCAGTTGCCCCCTAACTCCTTCCGAAAGCGCTATCTCATTTTAATTCGACATAATCAACTTGCCAATCGACCTAATACCATGTATTGAAGGAAAATGAATCGAGAGAATGAAACCTTCTTTTTTTTTTGGTAAATGTGGATTGGTCGAGTGTTTCCCTAAATTTATCTTTTTTTTTGTACAAGAAAAGGAAAGCAAAGCTAACGCTAGTGCTCGATCACGACTCGACGTGGCTGAGCCACACCAAGAAGATCATGTTGTAACCAAGGCCCGGCTCCCAACGGGGGATGATCAAAACGGTGCAAACCACCCGCTCCTTTAGCTGCAAGAGAAGCCAAGAAATCCGCCACAACGTTTGTCTCACGATGACCATGAACAAGCTGAAGATCCCAAGGACGCCCCATCAAATCTTTAATACCCCGGATAAGACTCCCATGTGGCCCGGTAGGTGCCTCACTATGAACCAAGGCAATTATACTTTGATTATCAACTTCTGCCACAATTTTACGGGCACCGATATCCCATGCCAACTGCAAACCTTGGAACAGGCCCCAAAGTTCGGCTCCCACAATAGAACAATAGCCAATATTTATTGTAAAGCCACCAATCCACGCCCCACAGTGGTCTCGAACAACCCCTCCAGCACTCGCCATCCCCGTCGTCGGGACAAAACTTCCATCCGTATTAACCTTCAACACCCCCTCCGGTGGAGCCGACCAAGAAAGCCATCTCGTTTCGCGTCGAATACACGCTCCCACCCGACGGCTATCAACTACAGCATCACGCACCCGGCTCGAGAAACACACAACCTCGCGAACCCGATGATTCACCGTCGTCTCACGACCTTCGAACAATACCAGATTTCGCTATTTCCACAAGCTCCAAGCAGTCAGGCCAAAAAGTGTCGGCCAATCATCACTTTCCAGCAAAAAACTACCGGCTAAATTCTTCAGCAGCCATGCCCGAAAATTCAAAGAAAAAAACTCCCTCCAACGCGCCCGCGGGACAAGCTTCTGCCAGGTTTCCGTTGCCGGAGCACAGTCACGCAAAACATGTATAGTGGATTCAGCCGCCAAGGAACAAACCTGGCACAAAGAGCTCGCCGCCATATGCCGCCTCACACGCGTTTCGTTCGTCAGCAGGCATTGACGAGCGGTCAACCAGAGGAACGCACGTACCCGCTGAGGTCCCGACCATCGCCATATAACCCGCCATAGACTATCAGCTCGACCCACCTCCGGCTGCGACAGCGCGCGGTAAGCTGAACGTGTGGAGAAGCGCCCATCCTCCGACCAACCCCAATAAATGACATCAGACCCACCAGAGGCGAGCGGCGGCGGAATGGCAGCAATTCGGAGAAGAACCACCGCAGGTAGCAGTCCCTGGAATTTCGACCAATCCCACCGACCATCGGGAGCCACAAATGCATGAACTGGGGCCTGGAGCTGTTCTTCGGGGACCGAACCAGTCGTAAATGAAATCAGCGGGTCAGGTAAGTGCGCCAACCTATCCCACCAAAACCGTACACTACAGCCATCACCCAAACTCCACCGTACACCCGCAATCGTGGCCGGCCAAACTTCTCGTATCGCACGTAACATCGTCGAGCCGCTTGGAAACTCATACTCTGCACAAATCGTCGACGGATGTAAGTCATATTTTGCCCGAAGCACTCGACACCACAACAAATCCGGCCTAGATAAAAAAAGTCCACGCCAGCTTCATCAGTAAGGCCTTGTTCATCACACGTTGGTCACGCATTCCCAGCCCCCCATCGGACTTGGGTCGACACACCTCAGACCAGGACACAAGGCTAACTTTCCGAGTAGTGGCTGTACCCCCCAGATAAAATTGCGGCACTTCCGTTCCAAGCTATCACACACGCCGTGCGGGAGCGAGACGGTTTGCATGGAGAAGTAAGGAAGAGAAGCCAGTACCAATTGAGCAAGAGTAACTCGTCCTGCCATAGATAACGAAGAGGCCTTCCAACCAGCAAGCCTTTTATCAGCCTTCTCAACTAGCTCCACGTACGTGTTCTTTGTTACCCGACTATGTATGAGTATTTCCCCAAGTTATCGACCACCTGAAACCCAAGGCGATTTACCAAGACCAAACGAGACTGGGAATCCACATTGGGCGAGAAAAACACCTGAGTCTTCGGCTCGCTCACTTTCAGGCCTGAGGCCTGACAAAAAATACGTAAGGTAGTGTGCAGACCCTCCACCTGGGCTGGAGTCGCCTCTAAGAACAACAAAAGATCATCAGCAAACATAAGATATGGCACGGGAATCCGGCTATGCCCCACCCGGATCGGCCTCCATATATCCATCCCCACTGATGGGTCAATCATATGAGCCAGCCGCTCAATACACAAAACAAATAAGTACGGTGAAATGGGGTCACCTTGTCGTATGCCACAGTTAGGAATAAACTCCTCACTGATGCCACCATTCCACTGTAGCTGCATGGTAGCAGAAGTGATGCAGGACATCACTGCACGAACAAAGACAGTAGGGAAGCCAGCAAACTCAAGTGTCTCCCTGATGAAGTCCCACCGAAGGTAATCATAAGCTTTTTCCAAGTCCACCTTCACGGCCATATAACCCCGTGTACCCTTCGTTCCCCGCATCGAGTGGATAAGCTCTTGAGCAAGAACAATATTATCAGTAATCTGGCGACCCGGCACAAAGCTGGACTGGGCAGGATTAATGAGAAGCGGGAGCACCTTCTTTATCCGTTCTGCCAAAACTTTCGTCACCACCTTATAGACAACATTCAACAGACTAATGGGCCTGAACTGCTTCAGGCGCGTAGGATTGGCCACCTTCGGAATCAACACCAACAGTGTTTTATTCAAAGAGGGAGGAACCGGGCACCCACGCCAGATATCGCGAACTTGGGCACAAACAGTGGGCCCGACATGATGCCACTGTTGCTGGAAAAACACCGCATGTAGACCATCAAGCCCGGGGGCTTTCAAAGGCGCCATGCGCTTAACCGCCAGAAAAATTTCAGAATCTGAAATAGACCCTCCAAGGGCCCGGAGCAAAGGAGGTTCCACGACTGGAAACGCGTTCTGAATACTTATCTGAGGGAAATCATCAACCCGGGCCCGATAAATGCCCTTAAAGAAAGACACTGCCATCTGCTGCATGATCGCGTCATCAGAGACCGACTGACCCTCATCGTCCACAAGCAAAGGAATAAGGTTCTTCCGACGCCTATGCCAGACTAGGCGGTGATAATATGAAGTATTCCGATCACCAAACAGTGTCCAATCTCGCTGCGACTTCTGGAGCATAAGCAGTTCTTCCTGAAGGAGAACTTTGTCAAGATCCCCCTGTAACCGACGCACTGGGCGACATAGAAAAGGGTTCCTAAAAAAGCGAGGCTGCTTCCGAATACCACCAATACGAGCCATGAGTCGCCGTTTGCGGCGAAATATATTGCCAAACACCTCCGCGTTCCAGGCCGTGGCCTTCGAAGCAAATCCCGATGCCGCCTCTTCATAAGGCTTCCCCAGCTGCCACGAATTTGCCACCATATCAGGAAACCCACCATGAGTGAGCCAAGCGGCAAGAAAGCGAAAGGGCTTTGGTCCTCCACGCCGAACAACTCTAGACGCCCGAAGAAGCAAAGGAGTGTGGTCCAACTGGACCCGAGGAAGGTGGCACACCATACTGTCTTGGAATGCATCTGCCCATGCCGTGTTACCAACCCACCTATCCAGCTTCTCTGCCAAACCATTCCTGAACCACGTCATTTGGTCGCCGTCTGTACGAACTTCGAGTAGGTCATTGTCGAAAATCCAATCGGCGAAAGCAGAACTCGTGTTGCAATTTCGTAAAGAGCCACCCTGCTTTTCGGAAACCCGGAGCAGGCAATTGAAGTCCCCCCCAACAACCCACGGGCCAATGATCGAGCCTGCCAAGGCATTGAGAGACTCCCATAAGGACCTTCTAACCGTGGGATTTGGACTAGCATAGAAAAACGTCACTAAAGACACGTTCTCGCCCACACAGACACGGGCATGCACGTGTTGGCGGCTGCATTCCAAAATCTGAACATCGACATGGGGCTTCCACAAAACCCAAATGCCCCCGGAAAAACCATTTGCTTCGACACGAAAAGACCGATCATAACCACTTCGGTTAATGAATTTATCCGCACTCACCCCACTAATGCGAGG